TGACTACAAAGTCTGTAGAGAGGCAACATTGGTATTGGTGAAGTTCTGTGTCTGCAAGACTCGCTATAATGGGTGAAAACAGAAAAGAAACAATTATCCTGTAATTGTGCTTTATGACTGAGATTCTTTTTCAAAGAAAGTGATAATAAGTAAATTCTGGCATAATCTTCATCCACTGTGAGGCTTTTTCTCCTTTACCATGTAGCACTTGACTCTGGCACTCCTGTTAGGGGCAGGGGAGGACCAGCGTGCCCAGCAGCCCTCCCTTTCCACTCTGCCTTCCCCCCTTGCAAGTCTCCTGCACGCATTTAGATCTCTTCTGCTGAGCTCTAAAGCAGAAGGAGAGCACAGCTCCTTTGATGATCTTGATCTAAATAGCAAGTTGTCATCTGAATTAAAAGAGACTGCAGTGGATGAAAGAGAAGCAATATGCTTATTTTCTGGTCTAGCAGTGCTGTTGTTCTACCTGTGTCCCAAGCCCATACACAAATAATTGGAAATTTGCTGTCTTAATGGCTGTTGTTTATTTTTTATTGTACCTCTGCGGCTGTGTGGGTGAATGTGAAAAGGGTTTTGCACATGTATATATGTATTTCTGGTAGGCACTGCACAGCTAAAGCCTCTTTTAATTTTCTCTCTAATTTATTTTTAATTTTGTAACCCCCCAGGGGTAAATCCTTATTATATGATATAAAATCATCTCTTCTACAAAGCAGCTTATTTGTGTTTGGTTTTTTTTTTTTTAATTTTAGCCAGCAGAGGAAAAGCTGTAGCTTTTTTCTAAACACTGAGAGCTCCTTTGTATATGTAACTGTCATGTGTCTCACTGCAAAATTAGTAAAAAATGTAAAACCTAAACCTATCCTTCTAGAAAGGACAAAGAGAGGTGATTTGTATTTCTCTGTGTTAACAAGATGTTAAGGATGTTAGACTTCTGAATCTTAAAAGATTCTTATATGCAATTTGCTTTTAAATCTACATTACATTTGGATTAGACTGAATATGAAGGTTTACATTTTCAAAACTCCGTCAAAAGATGGCAGTGTCTGAAGGTGGCATTACTCTGTGCACTCACATAAATGCATGTTCACTGACATCGATATGTGCTTTGGCTCACTGGAAATGTTACCTTTAAGCTAACCTGCACACTTTATGGTTTGGTATTTGTTTATATGACTGCTGGAAGCCTTAGTCACAGTCCTATAGAGATAATAACAAAAACACACGATCTGACATAATCTCTCTTCCCTTTACATTCAGTGGGAGAGATATTTATTTTCAAAGCACTGTGTCTCATCCTAAACAATTCATCTGGAATATGTTAGGTGAAAAAACCTTTAAAAATGCCTTACCAGCTAGTTCATGTGTAGGCACCTACATTCGGTCCTTCTGGCCTATAGTGCTTACGACTCAAAAGACCTGAATAGTTAGTTTGCTTTGAGTTGTCATCAAGGGAAATTAAAAAAAAAAAAGAAAAACCAACAAAAAACAACAACAAAAAACTCAGATTGTCTCATTTTGCTTTTAATTAAGTTTGATTTTTTTTTCCCCCCACTTTGTTTTTAAGCAAAAGTGATGTTTATTTCTGTTCAGGATGTCAACTTTTGAATGAAGCTCTTGATTCCCTCTGATTCTTACTTTGTTCTTCCCAAGTTAAGTCAAGACTTCCCACTTATCTCCCTAACTCCCATTTCCCTTTTCCTTGTCTGAATTCACTGAGGATGCCATCTGTGATTGCTGTCCAGAGATCTTGTCCTGCTGGCAGCCTACGCCTTCTCCAGGCTGTCTTCCACCGTTGTCTTTTACTGGGTCACCCTTGCAAAAGTGTGACATTGGAATACATTGGGGTTTTTCCAACCCCATGTCAAAACTGGGACTCTACCTGCCTCTTCCTTGATTTGTCTATAGCATTGGACTGAAACTTACTGCAGATGATCACCTTCTTTCTCTTAACCTTCTCCCCAGAAAGTCTCCTACTTCAGGAGCGATTCATTCACTTCCATGAATTGTGATGACAGTGCCAAAGAAATGGCAGTAAACAAATAACAGACCCCAGATTAACAATGTTAACCATGCACTGCTTTTTGCACAGATGTACCCTCAAATGGGGTCCATCAGTTTTGCTAATGCATGTAGATCTGCACAACCGGTATGTTAATGATAAACGATAATAATACTGTGGGCAGAGGGACCCCGGTCAGAAGCCAGACTTTTCTTACACACTAAGTAACAGGAGATGCAGCAAGTGAGTGGAAGCAAAGATTAAATATGTTCTGCAGAGAAAGATGAAGCTGCTGCACAAGATTTTTTTCCGGGAACAAATTCTCTATTTTATTTCTGTCACGCTGAATGCCTGTACACCTCTCTGCTTTCCACTGGGCGAGACAAAGACACTTGCTGCGAAGCTAAACCAATGTTCATCAGAGCTGTATAGTGCATGCAGAAATTCATTTCGGCTTTGGTTTTTGTTCTGCCCAGCCTTCTCAGCTGAAACCAATCTTTTGCAGTTTGGAATATCTCAGAGCTGTGTACCAAAGATAAAATACCACTTGCCAAATATTTTTCAGGATTGAGAAAGCAAAAGAGAGAACCATGTATGTCAGTTAAAATTGTAGCAGATTTAATTTTCATCTCTGAAAACTCTGACTTTACCCATTAGCCAGAAGTAATAGCCATACATTAATTTTTAAAGCTAACTTCTTTGGCCACATCTGAGCAGTACAGCGATAAGCGGTTGGAAATCGAAGCTGGAGAAAGAAAGCACTAGCAAATCAAAGACATCAAGAGTCCTTTAGGTGTGCCCGTAGTCCTTGCTCAGGCAACCTGATGCCAGTGCAGCTCTTGAGCCTACTGCTTCTTTCTGCTTTGCAAGTACCACCAAGGTCGTACTGTAACAAAAACAGACTCAGGTGGGATTTTCAGTGTGAGACTGCAGTTTGATGTCTTTGATTTTTTTTAAACTTTCTCTTTACGATTAAAATGAAATGTTAACCATGCCATTCCATTGCATTGATGTTTTCCAGTTGGTGTTTCAAAGGTATTATCTGAGCAGTGTAAAAATTAGAGATTTCAGTACCTGGAAAGAATCTATCTGACTATTTTACACCAATTTTAGTAAGAATTAGGACATCTAATCTCAAATGTTTTTTTGACAATACCTCCCTAAATGTATTAAAAAAACCCAAGATCTAAAATACTCCTCTTTCTGCATGCTCAAATCATCATAACAAACACATAAATGTAGTTATAATTTATGTCTGAAGGGTGGGATTTTCTTTCTTCATGAGTTCTGTGAGGCCATGGTAACAGAAAAGTGTGGTATGGTTGAATGTACTGACTCCTTATTTAGGGTCTTAAATAATTAGCCTACTCACTACCTTGTTTCTGCTGTTTCTCTGATGCTTACTGAGAGAAAGAGAAGAAGAGAAGGGAGGGAAGGAAGGAAAGCTGTTTAGAATTTACAGTTTTGTGCTCAGTGTCATTATCACTGTAACAAATAATTAGGTTGTTGACTAATAATATCCCACTAGAAGTGTGTGTGTGTAAGCATCTGTTAATGAACAAACATCAAGTGATTCAGATGCTTTGTTCAGGTAAACACCCATTCAAGTCACACAGTGGGGCCAAGATTTAACGTGTAAGATTTCTGATTCAGCCTCTGAAGTAAGTATCCATTTTTCTGTGATTGCAAGTTATAAGGTCTGAGATACTGCTGTGCTATAGACATCCTCCCATTTCTGATGGTGTGGCAGCCCATATATCACAGGGCCTGTTTGAACCAGAGAACGAACACACTTGTGATGAAGGAAAATGATAGAGAATGGGGAAGCCTGAGAAAGTTTTGGTGGCAATTGACAATAATGTTCCTTTTCTTCTGTATTTTCCACCAGTCATTTTGCTGATCACAGGCACTTAGAAAGGCTGCAGCAACATGAACAAACCTTAGAACAGTGATTTGTTTTTTTTTTTTAAACTTTCAAGACAGTTCGTATTCTGTTTATGGTACTTTCAGGTCAACCCTGCTTAGATCCCTGTTTAGGCTATAGACTCTTAAAACCCTCCAGTCGTATTGCAGTTCAGTCACAGATGGTATGTTCAGCCCCTTTTCACAGTGGGGTCCCATCATGTCTGGAGCTTACTGTAATGCAAATAAGTAACAGGTTTGCCCACCCTCACTAATGAGCTGGTTTCTTTTGAACTAAGAACAATAATAATCCCTAGCCCAGCGTGAGGAATGCTTTGACCTTTCCAAAGTTGTGCATTTGATCTGCAGGCCGTATTGTACTGTCAGTCTTCACGTGGTAGAAATTAAGTACTGAGTGATTGACAGATCTCCATTAGAAGGCAGCAAACCTGCCTACTTCAGAAATCGATCCTGGGAGCAGAGCAACCTGTCACGCAAAATCTATTAATCTCTGTGCAACCTTTCTCTAAACAAGTCTGATATTTTGAACCTCTAGGATCATAATATCTGGTTTTGGAACAGGATCTGTAATCTGCCTAAAGGTGACGCTGTTACTCTCCTGCTGTAATATTCCATCATATTTGCAAATACTGGTAATCTCCTACTTCGGCAAAACCCTCTTGCATCATGTGAGATACAACATTTATCAGTATGTATGGAAAGTATAAATGTATGTAGTAAACTGCTCTATTTAGCATTTTATATGCATTTATATATGTACATATATAGAAAAGTAAAGCTAAGAACACATTTTCAGTCTCCCCAAGCTGCACTCGATTTCCCAATGTTGTTTACATCTTAAGTGAAGTGAAAATCTGACCCTCACATATTACTTCGCTGAGCTGACTTTTAATATCTGCGAGAAAAATAGGGTGTGTTGGTTTTCGCCTCCTTGCCAGTACCTTTTTATATATGGTGCTTTTCAACTGCATATTGTAAATGTGAGAGATCATCTAGATAATTTCTCTTGACAGGCAGGTATTTTGTGCTTGTAAACCTAACTCTTTTACATAATTCTTCTTGTTTATTACCACAGGAGAAGAAAACTTGCTGGCAATTTTGAAAAGGAGATGGTGGAAGTACATGATCCTGGGGATAATAGATATAGAAGCCAATTACCTGGTAGTCAAAGCTTATCAATACACCACTCTTACTAGTGTACAGGTAAGGACTCAAAGGATTTTCTCTTTTGAGGTAAGATGATAGGCCTGGTGGGGTCAATGGTGCAGTGTCCATTCACTTCAGCACCCTAATAGCTAGTTTCTGTCTGTGTCTTCTGTGTACGTTTTAATGCTGTCTCATAAGACACATTTTTTCATATTACTCAGTATTTTCCAAACTGTACAAAAACATACTGACTTTCATTTTATTTTCCTGTACTAAACCATTCATAATCACATTTTTGGCATTATCTACTTAATTTGATCCTTTAAGGAAATATTTTCAGATGGGCTGAAATTTTTTTCTCACTTTATGATGTACTTGGAAAACATAGGAACACTTCTTTTAGGATTCCGTAATTAGATCTGAGTGCAAAAACTGTGTGGTGGGTTGACCTTGGCTGGAGGCCAGCTGCCTTCCAGAGCCGCTGTATCGCTCTCCCCTTCCTCAGCTGGACAAGGGAGAGAAAATATAACTAAAGGCTTATGAGTCGAGATAAGGACAGGGAGAGATCACTCACCAATTACCTTCATGGGCAAAACAGACTTGACTTGGGGAAATTAGTTTAATTTATTACCAGTCAAATCAGAGTAGGATAATGAGAAATTAAACCAAATCTTAAAAACACCTTCCCCCCACTCCTTCCTTCTTCCCAGGCTCAACTTTACTCCCAATTTCTCTACTTCTTTCCCTTAGTAGCACAGAGGGACGGGGAACCGGGGTTGTGGTCAGTTCATCATACATTGTCTCTTCCGCTCCTTCCTCAGGGGGAGATCTCCTCACACGCTTCCCCTGCTCCAGTGTGGGGTCCCTCTCTCAAACTCCAGCATGAGTCCTTCCCACGGGCTACGGTTCTTCATGAACTGCTCCAGCGTGGGTCCGTTCCATGTGATGCAGTCCTTCATGAGCGGACTGCTCCAGCGTGGGTCCCCCACAGGGTCACAAGTCCTGCCAGCAAACCTGCTCCAGCGTAGGATTCCCACGGGGTCACAGCCTCCTTCGGGCATCCACCTGCTCTGGCGTGGGGTCCTCCATGGCTTGCCGGAAGATATCTCCTCC